CGCCAAATCTGCGACTCAGACTACTTCGTGCAGTCCTCTCAACCCCGGAGGAACGCAAAGTCTTCATGCACTTTGCATTCAAACCCAAGGGTAGTAATGTCAGCGTTCGGCCGGACCCCCTACTGGCAGATCAGCTGAAGTTAAAGGAAGCCATCAAAAGCCTCAAGAGCAGGCGGGCGGCTGGTGAGCAAGGCCATCGTCTTATGGGTTTTTAGGTGGTCAGCCGGAAGTCAAATTCTACCCTACCAGAACACCTCCTGGTAGCGTACAACCCAGGGCTGGTCTTGCTAAATTCCCTCGGGTAGTGCTTAGTAATGTGCGTAGCCTAATGAACAAGGTACATGAGGTAGGTTTACTTGTAGACAAATCTCGTCCCGACATACTCGCTATCACTGAAACGTGGTTGTCCCCGGATATCACAGACGGTGAAGTATGTTTACCTGGCTACGCACTGCTAAGATGTGATCGCTCCGTTGGCCGCCAAGTTGAGGGCGTCGCTCTGTATGCGAGTTGTAAACTTGATGTGTTGAGGACCTGTGTTTTTCAGTCGACGGATCAAACTGTTGTAACCCTGTCGACTATTGTGTGCACTTCCTCTGATCAGTTTACAGTTGTAGTGGTATTTCGAAGTTCTTGAAATATCTCCAGCGGGTTATTGAATTTATTCCTACTCAGGCTGCCAATAGGTGTCTAATACCGGTTGACTTCAACCTCCCTGAAGTCTTCTGGGCTGATCTATCTTGCAGTTCGGCTGTGGACACTTCGGTTCGGATCTCCTCGAGCTAACATTGCAACTGCCTTTGCATCAGTTCGTGGACCTCGCGACTAGGTATATGAGCAACCAAAGTCCGTCTACCTAAGATCTCATTTTTCGAAGGCACACGATTTCGTAGGTGATATTACCTACGGCTGTCCTCTAGGAGCCAGTGACCATATCTGCATATCCTTTCGATGTACTCTAACTAAGTGTCATCAAACTACCTTTGAGGCATGTCCAAATATTTGCCGGGCAGACTTTAACGCAATGCGAGACAAAGCTTCAGTTCTGCATTACGCGATTACCATGGCTGGCACAGTTGAGACAGCCTGGGAGAAATTTAAAGCATACCTCGCCGAGATCTCTGCTCCCCACATCTCACTCATTAAGAGAAGGGTGACACGTGCGCAGCCTCTTTGGATAGATCATACAGGTAAATACCTGCTCAGGAAGCGCTCTAAGTGCTGGCGAACTTACCAAGCGGCTTCATCAACCAGCACCTACGAAAGCTATCGAGCGGTTAGAAATAAATGTAAGCAACATTTGAGAACACTTCGTCTTCAGTACTAGAAGGATTTGGCTGAGGCAGCCGCAACCAACCCAAAGGAGTTCTTTGCTTACGGAAAGAGACGTAGCGGTACAAACTCGTCTATACCGGCTATACTACGAGTGGACAGGGCCCATGGGCCTACCGACTGTGATAAGCCTTGTATACTTAGCGAACAATATACTGGTGTCTTTTCTCGTGAGGCCTCTCTATCACAGGTTGAGCTGGTCACAAAAGTCCTGGAGAATTCTTGTCTAACTGGAATCAGCATAACGGAGGCACAAGTCTTCGGGCTATTGCAAGGGCTAAACCCTTCCAATGCTTCTGGCCCTGATTCAGTTCACCCGAAGTTGATGCATGAATTGGTCGCTGAGCGGAATGGAAGGAGGTAGTCATCTGTCCGAGCTTTGCCCGCGAACTACCGGCCTGTCAGTTTGACAAGCGTAGTAGTTAAGCTGTTTGAAAAATTGGTCAGGGATTCGGTGGAGAATCACCTGATTAAGTTTAACCTTCTCATTGCAGCACAGCATGGATTCCGTGAAGGATTTTCATGTCTGACAAATTTACTTGGAGCCCGTGAAAGCTGGACTGAAGCAGTAGACAACGGTCACGCTATCGACGTGCTTTTCGTTGACTTCTCGAAAGCCTTTGTTACTGTCCCATATTAACGACTCTCATTGTAGTTGAAATCGTATGGGATATCTGGAGCCGCTCTTAAATGGGTTTCTGCTTTCCTAGAGGGCAGAGAACAAAGTGTACGTGTGGGGCGTAGCCTTTCGCTTAGACAAGCTGTTCTTAGTGGCGTTCCGCAGGGCTCAGTTCTAGGGCCGTTGCTTTTCTCAATTTATGTGAATGACCTACCCCAGGGGCTTGAAGTACCGTCGTTATTGTTTGATGATGACCTCAAGCACCGGAATATTGTAGATATCCCTGGTGGCTTTCAGGCACTTCAGAGTGTCTTGGATAGGCTCTGGGATTGGTCAAACTTATGGTTGATATGTATAAATCAGGCGAAATGTTCTGTCCTCCGCATTGGAGGTGCTAGTCCTCCCACGGTCTATCGATTTGGTGGAAGTGAAATCCCTGTTGTCACTCAGCAGATTGAGCTGGGTATCACCCACACCTCGTTGCTTCACTCTAGGGACAGTTGGAGGAAGGCTGCTTGTAGAGGGTTTCGTATGATGTGGTTTATTCGCCCCTCCTTCGGTGTCCTAACGGGCAGTAGCGTTGTGAAGCTGTTCTCAACTTTTGTGTGACCCCACTTTGAATACTGTATCCAGGTTTATCCACCTTGTCTTATAAGGGACAAAATGGAACCGGAGAGGGTTTTGCCGGTAGGTACTAGGTTATTGCTAGGATTACGGGGGCAAATGTATTCCGAATGTTTTCTTAGCTTGGGTATGTACTCAATGCACTACCGCAGAATTAGAGGAGACTTGATCCTCACTTACCGTAGCTTAACGAGTAAGATCGATCCAGACTTGTCCTGACTCTTTAGTCCCGCCAAGCTGCCTAGTCTCCGAGGTCACCCGTTGAAGCTGCACAAACTGCGTTCTTACCGGGTTAGGACGGAAACTCGCTTGTCGCGCAGAGTTATCGAACGTTGGAACTCGCTTCCGGATCACGTTGTTAGGGAGTCTACGGTCGAGGGTTTCGAGTGTCAGTTAGATGCTCTTGGTTGGCAGTACCAAACCTTACTTTCTCATAACCGACTTGTGTCTTCAACGTTCCCTTCGTTTTTTTTTAAATTTATTCTCACACCTTGGTATTATCATTATTTAGCTGACATTCCTCCTCTTGTTTTCTCAGCTTACCCTTCACTCTTTTACTTCACATAAACCAGCCTGGCAAGGACTGCTGGGCAGGAAAATGTAGGCAGTAATTGGTTGGACAGGGTGTGGTTCGATCTCTGTTTTAGGCTTTTCAACACCTCAAGCAGACCTATCAAATCCCGATCCGACGATACGCAAAAGAAGGAACATTCACGGGATTTTCCTATCGTTTCGGTCCCAAATGCACTTGAACTTGATCATGAAGAAGGCAAATTCAATTTTGGCGGTAGTCCGACCAGTCCGTCTTCCAGGTTGGGGACCAAGAGATGTTGAAGCTCAGTGGTTGGAAACATTGGATGTCATGGCCCGTGTCGTCAATGTTGTTCTGCCATTGTATCCCTTTTAATTCACACAAAACTCATGAAACAAAAGAAAAAAGATCAAATTAGCGTGTGCAAAATCAAAAAACTCGTTTTCCTTTTTATATCGCATTTCCTGTTTCCATCTTCTTCATCTTTTGGTTCCACGGTTCTAACGGCATAACGGCTGTTAACAGACTGTGAATATATATATATATATATATATATATATATATATATATATATATATATATATATATTGCTCCATTAATCCTTGTTAACTCAGCTACTCGCTCACCGGGTAGAAGTACAGAGTTGACTGACCTGATCAGCCGACCAGGTCAAGGTGTAAGAGCATGTTTACGTGGTAAAAGAGGCAACACAGACGCTTAGTGTACAGGACGTAACGATACGGAACAGTGGTGAAAACCTGACACCGAGGGCGAATTTTCAAGGAATGTCTGAAACAAATGAGAAGCCACTGACATCTGCTCTTGTTTGCTCACCGGTCACACACCAAAGCAAGGAACCGAAGGAACTTGGAGCACGGCTTACGAGCAACCGAAACCGCACCAAGTTTTGAGACTTATCATTATCAGCCGTCTCATTAATGAGCATCACCTCCTGATGTTAAAAAGTTGCTCAAGGATAGGCGTTTAATTAGCGAAGAGTAGTAGGGGGAGTTGAATGGTGTAGATAGAAATTCGTCACACCTAGACACACTCAGACAGCCGTCACACGCCCGGAAAAGCACTGTACTCGCTTTGCATCCTTTCGGGAATCGTCAGCAGTGCGCACGCCATCGGACCCTGGTAGGGCTCGAACCCGCAACTCGATTGTTGCCAGTCCGTGGTCGAGACCACTGAGCTACGGGAGACGGCAACGACCATCATAAATAAGTTACTAGATGTGATATAGCGCCGCTCACTATCCACTGACTTACACGTTACTGCCATGCAGAGGACAGGGTAGCCCCCTCAAGCGTATTTGAATGATAACTTGTAATTAAAAATGGTATTCGTTTTTCGTAAATAAAATCAAAATATGCAGTAAATAAGTAGCTTTTTAAACTAGAAATTTTTGGGGATAATTTTCATAGCGAACCCGCTTTGTGGATACCAACCACAAGAAGATTAAGAACTGCTGTATTAGACGTATACTCACACCTTAACACTATGTAGAGTACAACTGACAAAGCCGAAGCCACCGGTTTACGTATGATACGCAGTTTGCAGGAAGATGTCTTCATGTGAGCGGCGCCAAGAGGGCTACATTGCTGGAGAATAAACTGTGTCGTCTCGGGGTTGATGACCTATTCTCGTCGGATGTTGGCGTCTATGGTACCCATGGATTTAAGTGTCGGTGATTTTTTGCTTGTTGCCCTGACAAATTAAACTTCACCTTCCATTAAGCTACAACCCACTGGAAACCGTTTGGTTGGTGACGCAGAATTGCTTGGTAACTGTGATATATTACAAAGGAAAATAAGATCCGAAAGACAAGAGAATAAGGCTAAGAAACGCATCCAAGCAATTGTGATAGATGCATGAAAACGACCAACTTACTTTCTCCGCTGCGCCCGCCTTCAAGACCGCTAATGATACTGCCAAAATTGCATTCGCTCCCAGGTGAGCTGAAAGAGACATGTTCCAAAATCACCGAAGGCTCATAACTTGTGATGGTAGTTGACCTAATTTTGACTTATACCAAATAGTAACACGAAGGTTACTATTGATAAAATGCCCTACAATACAGCATGGACATGAGCCGTCGCTATACGCCACCAAGTGTTCATCATCTTGCATCACTTCAATGAAAGTACCGGGCTAGGCATTTAGCCAAATTGTGTGAAAAGGAGAAACTTTAGATTAGCGGCGAGGAAATTTCTTGTTAAGTATAGGAGCGGGCTAAAAAAGCCAAACCATTATCCATTTAAATTATTTGTACCAGTTTGCACTTCCTATTTCTGCTTTTTCCTAACAGTGTCTTCCCGTGCTTGCGAGTAGGACTAGTGAGAACTTGTAGAACATGTCTGTGGGGGTTTCAGTGTGACTTTCTCCTATCTCTGCATCCCATGTCTGACGGTTTCGTCCTGGTTTGGGCTTATCAGATAGAGGTAGCCGAGCTGGGAGTGGAACTCGGCGCAAACTGCTTGGCGGCTATCGCCATGATCACTGGTCTATTGAGCTCCACGAGCAGTGCTTGACACAGCACGTATGTGTTTTAAATATCCTGTATACCACGGACAAACGTTACTTCCTAACATGGGTTAGGCAAAGTGTAGTTGAATGTTTCAGAGGAACAAATTTATGATGCTTCTACTCATCCATGTTGGTAACGCTAATTCATGGACAAAATAAAGCTACTGGCTGCGATTAGCTTCTTTTGGACTGAGACTTTTGGTTGTGTCAAGGTATAAGTGGGTAACTTCTCCGTCTACCAATTGAGGTGCGCAAAATCCCCAGCAGTTCAACGAGTTGTTTTGTTATCTGTGAAGGTTTACCAGAGCTTTACATCCTGGCTGTTGTCAAATTAACGAATAACTGACAGTTAAGTTGCTCTTCTGCTAGGTGCCCGATTGATTTCATACAACTTGTCGGCTATCGGAACGCAACTGACTTTCATAAACTACCGTCTGGAGTGAAAATATCTGTATGAGTCACTTACAAAAATTAGTGTACGAAAGCTGTCCACTGGTTAGAGAATTTCGCTTTTGTCATTTGCATTATCTACTTCAAAGGAGCACTATATTGCCTCTATTAATCACCCTGTGTAGCCTTAGATATTTGCTAAATGAATCATATCGAAGGTAGCTCTTTCAACAATTAACATAACTTTCTTTATGCCATCGAATACGCGACTTTGACGTGGATAATCGTCGTTCTTCGCAGTAACTTCCAAATAGGGTAGTCCTCCACATGCCGGAACAGGACTAGACGGCCTTTTTGACCAGTTGGGTACCGTCAGGAGTGTACCTCCCCTGGATCCATCAGTATCCAAGCTCATGTCCGCCAGCAGCTTGCTCCAACTACCATCAGCTTATGCCACCTAGTCTTGAGAGGCAGCGACAGACCATCATGATTCACAAGCTAACTGCGATATAGAGCAACTTATCCTCCGCTGCCATGCAAGTTACAAACGTTGTGGAATGCAGGATTGACCCCATAGTCACAACTTATACTAACAGTAGTTATGTACGACCAGTGGAAGGACGAATCCCGCTATAGCGAAACAGCCGTCCAATGTTTTCGTGGTAAGATAAAAAATAGGGGCGATATACGTTTTTAAATGAATAAATACCTTATATATTCCTCGAGAAGCTGTTCCCAAGGAGGAACAGATCAAATATTGTTACATCCTTTTCATACCACTGCATTAATAATATTCAAAAATAAACGGGCGCGAATTTCAAACTTAGGCAACACAAAGCAATCAGAATCGTTCTGCTGTTTTTTTCCTGTCCTTGAACTAGGGCTCCTCATAATCACATGACATGTTCAGGCCCAGAAAAAATGAAATAAAATGAGAGGGACTGTGATCCAAAAATTGATGTGTATGTATTTTGAAAATTTATTCAAGCACCATCGATACCGTACTGGAAAGCACTATCTAGGGATTGTGATGATCGGAACATTTTCATCACCTTATGGCCGGATAACTACTTGTTAATCGCAAGCTTAAAATTGCAGTGCACAGCATCTTCAGATACCTCTCGGAATTTTGTTCCAAAGGTTTGAGTAATGCATTACTAAGAAACGTTCTCTGATTCTTGTAGTAAATTGGATACTCATGAATTGTGCCTACAAAGGGACCATGGGTGGCTTGCGCTGCACCACGCACAGCTCCAATCACACACCCCATATCCAGTGTAAACCCGAAGGAATAAGACCGGGAGGCATGTGGATGGGAGCCACGTTTCATCAACGGAGCCGGCCCACACTCCTTCACAGGCAAACACAAGCACGCTGTATTTGGGAATCAAGCGCACACAAGGCGGTGGCTGGACCGTAGTCCGCTCCACACTGAGTGCATGGAACCACTCTTCGAGCCTAGCACGGCCACAAGGACCGTGCACCCCGTCCCCTCCAGCAACGACCAACTGTCTCCTGGAGCCAGTATGGACGAGGTAGTGGGTAATAGACAGGTAGGCACCTTGTCAACATGCACATCAAGCGCAGCCACACCGGGGATATCAAGCAACAGCCAATCACTTGAAACGAAGATATCAAATAAATAAATCGAATAATGCATACAGATACGGTGACATAACTCTTCACTAAATGAGCATATGAAATAAATTGGTTACGAACAAATCCGCGATAAGTTCAAGACGTCAGAAAATATATTTTAAGAAATGCCACAAACGCGAAAATGTTATCGAAGTTAACTACAATTAGCTTAAGCGACGTGTGCAAGTTTATAGAAGATAGTTCAGGTAGACATTAATATGAGAAAAAAGCATTAGGACAATATAGCAAACCCACCACCTGAAATAAAGAGACTCAGCATGCAAGCACGCGGTTAGTAAATCGAATGCAGCGTACCTACAAACGCTGCGCCGGTTCTGCCTACGTTCTCTGCAGGACCCGTCGTCGCTTCGGTGTTGGCCCCGAGTGGCCTCGCTCATGGCTCACTAGGCCTGCCTGACTCAGGCACTCGCGACCGCATGTGCTACAGCACCATGCGCTCGATGTCGATGGAGTACAACCCATCGGCGCCTGCCGCTTCCGCACTTGCCGCTTCTTCTCTGCATGCATGAGGTCTTTCTCCTGCACCTCGGCAACTGCCTTCGTGATCAGATCGCGCCATGCACGCCGATCAACCGCCTTCGATTCCCATGACCTGCAATCAAGATTAGAACGCGAGAGGCTCACTTTGATCATGTGCTGGTAACGAAGCTTCGGTTTCCCCACATGCCGCATCCCAACACTCAGCTGACCATATAGTAGTTGTTTCGGTATCCGCGTCGGATCCATACGCCACACATGACCGAGCCACCTCAGGTGTCTCAGCAAAAGTATGCAGTTCACTGCATACATCCCACTTCGGCGGTGCACCTTCGTGTCTGCAACTCTAACACACCAACCGATGCGCAGAATCCGTCGCAAACGCTGTCGATAGAACCGCTCGACATATCGTACATCCCGCCTGTCCATCGTCCACGTATCGCTGCCGTATAGAAGAAAGTACACCACCATGGATTTGTACGCCATGAGTTTCGTGCCGACGATAGGTTGATGGTTATTCCACACTCGGTACTATAGATTCACAAATACCGCCGCTGCCTTAGAGATGCGGACACGAAGCTCACTGTGTAGCTGCTGATCAGTCGACATCACACTCCCAAGGTAGCTGAAGCGGAAGATGGTTTTCAACACTTAATCACCAATGCCAATTTGCGGCAATATTGAAGATTGCACCTCCGGTGAAGCCTGAAAGAGACACAGTTCTGCCTGTGTTGATGGTGAGCCCGAATTTGGCCGCTGTCGAAGCCAAAGCACTAGTCATGTGCTGCAACTCTTCCGCGCTGTGTGAAAACAACGCACAGTCGTCAGAGAATAGCAACATACGGATAGTTGTCTCACAGACTAGAGTTCTCGTACCGAAACGACGGACGTTCAGCAACCCACCATCGATACGGTGCTCCACACGAACACCGTAAGCACAAGCCGCATCAAAAGCACAAGACAACATTGCATGAAGATAGATATTAAACAGGGCAGGAGCTAACACACAGCCTTGCTTCACACCAGAGACAACTGTAAAGTCATCAGAGGTCTCTCCACTCAGCTACACCCTCGCTCGCATACCACTGTGCAGACATTCAATTAAACTTACAAACTTACGCGGGCAACCAAACTTACCTAACACCAGCCACAGTGCCTCGCGGTTCACCGTATCAAATGCCTTGGTGAAATCAACAAAAAGCGAGTACAATGGACGGTGTCGTTCTCTGCACTTCTCTTGCAACTGACGAGCCGCAAACACCATATCTTTAGTGCTGCGACCCGAACGGAATCCACATTGCTCTTCCGCCACGTTAGGTTCCACAATCTGACTGACGAGGCGATTGAGCAGGATTCGGGCAATCACCTTGCCCACACAAGTCGGTAAGTTGATACCACGATAATTTGCCCAACATTGTTCGTTGCCTTTGCTATAGTACGGTGGTAGCATAAGAGCATCGTTTAGCTCAGTAGGTACCTCTTCTTCACTCGACACGCGTTGAACCAATTGGTACAACGCAGGTTCGCCGAAGTACAACAACTCAGGCGGGATGCCGTCGGCACTAGCACATTTGCGGTTTCACAGCCGAACAATGGCTCTCTGCGTCTCATTCAGTGTCAGCGTGTCCGCCAGACGCCTTTACATCGTGCTGCGTGAGGCCGTTCAATGTAGGCCAGTCGATCTCTGAACGTTTGTTCAAGAGACAGTCATAATGCTCTTGCCAGATGTGTATTATATCTTCAGTCTACGTGCAGCCAGCACCTGAACTGTCATAGATCAGTGTTCTCAGCGGTTCCAATCTCGGTCCATACACCGCCGACAAGGAGTCAAAGAATTCCTTGTGTTGGCTGCATTCGGCGTAGCAATCTATTTGCTTCGCCTTCTTCTTCCACTTTGCACTTTAAT